ATCCCGGTCAGAGCAGTCAGTGGTGGTAGCTGGGCACCATCTAGTTGTACTGGACTCAGTCTGGTGGAGGCCATGGTAGTTGTTAAAGACAGGCATTTTCAAGGGCTCTCAATGTTTCAATTAAATCCTAGAATAAACTACTCGGACCTCTGAAAACCTGCTCTGTGACCTTGTAAAAGCTATTCCACTCTTCTGGGCCCGTTTTGTCATTTGTAGGATGTGGCTCTTAATGTTTACCTGGAAGAGTTATAGGAGGATTAAAGGAGAAAAGGAATATGGAGTCAACCCAGCGCCTGCTTTGTAACAAGCCCACACCTGAGACTACTGCTTCCCTCTGCTACAATAACCGAAGGAAGATGTGAGGCATTCTGTTCTGAGGTAACTAAAAAAGAGAATCAGGAGGATTATTTCCTACAGCAACTAAAAATGAGAGGCTGTTGAAAGAACTTGGGATGGTTAGTTTAGAGAAAAAAGTATTTCTGTGAGTCCAGATACCAGAGTGCTGGTACATATTTGAAACCAGGGCTTCCCAGGGATTGAGAGGCCCAAGTGACTTCCTTTTTTGCGTGTGTGTATGTGTGGTTTCTGGTATAGTAAAAGAAAAATGTGAAATATAAAATAACAAAAAACTTAAGTGAGGTTACGAATATTGTGGCATACCTTAATTGTTCCATTTAACAAATGTTAACACACACAAAAACTGAACCTAATATAATTATACTAGTCATACGGTAATTAGTGGATACATGTATTTTTTTTTTTAAATCTTAATTCATAGTGCATTGCAGGCACTGTGGGCAGGTAATGGAACACAAACTTTTTCAACTGCCTCAGGCTCCGACTTGGAGAAAACCGCAACAGTTTGAGTTGAGGTTGGGTCGGAATGTGCTGGGGCGCGCTCTCTCTCTCACACCCACACACACACTCCCCCACTCCCCACCCCCCAGACCCTTTGTAGACCCCTTGGAAGGTGGGCCGGACATTCTACATTCCGAAAGCCACAGAGGTCAGAATCAGGCCCTGGAGTGGATACTCAGGACAGCCCAGGGCGCTGAGTAGCCTGACCCTGAGGTGTTGGGGTGTTGGGATAGTTGGTGGGGTACTCATTTGGCACTTGGACAGAACATGTATGCGACTGGAGCAACGATTCTTGGCTTTCGTGCGTTCAAGGAGCTCTCGGATCTGCCCGGGAGCCCTGCCTTGGCCGCTGGCTGGCTGCGCCCGATGAACCGCGCCAGGGGCGGCCGCAGACGCGCTCCGTCCCTCATGGTCTCGGCCCCGGAGCAGCGCAGCAGGAGCCGGGGGTGGGGTGGGGGGACAAGGAGGAGGCGCGGCCTGACCCCCGGCCCCACCTGCCAACGCCCCGGGCGAGGGGAGCGGTCGCAGGGCCCCGCCCCGGGCGGTAGGCCGGGCCCGCTGCGCCCACCGCCCGGAGCTCAGAGCCGCTGACGCGCCGCCGCCACCGCAGGTCGTGTACTCCGCGCTGCTCCTGGGCCTCCTCTCGAGCCATGAAGATGCACTTCTGTATCCGTGTCCCAGCAGCGGCCCGATGAGCTGGGGGGCCGCTACGTGGTGCGCCGGGGCCGGGGCTGGTTGGGCGGGGAGAGGGCTAGGGACAGTGGAGGAGCGGGGGCTCTCTTGGCTAACCCGGAACCCGGGACTGGGGTGTTTGTGTGTTTGCAGCTGTACTCTGTGTACCTGGACGGGTTCCTCTTCTGCCGGGTGCGCTACAGCCAGCTGCATCGTTGGAACGAACAGGTGAGCCCGTTGGAAGCGGGTACCAGCCGGTCCAGCTGAGGTTCTGACTGTGGAAGTCTCGCAAAACACTGGATCCTTCGGAAGTCTCAAGCTTCTAATCTGTGAAACAGGTCGTGGTGAGGATTCATTGTGAATTGCTTGGCATACAGCTCAATAAATACACGTTGCCACTTCTAAAGGTTCCTGGGTGGTGCACAGGGTTTGTGCTAGATTATTAACCCAAGGGTTGGCGGTTCAAACCCACCCAGCAGTGCCACGGAAACAGGCCTGGCAATCTGCTTCCGTGAAGATCATAGCCAAAAAAACTCATAGGAGTAGTTCTACTCTGTAACACATGGGGTCGCCACGAGTGGGAATCGATTTGATGGCAACGGGTTTGGGTTTTTGTTTCGGCCACTTCTAATCATCTACATCTTTGAGATGAAGGAACAGGGAGCAGTTGATTCTCCCAGCCCCTTCCCAGCTCTCAGATCCCCAGCAGCCCCAGCTGGCAGGGCGCTGGAGCGATGGTGGGCTCCGTTTCAGTACCAGCTGTTCCCCAGGGTAATGTCCCGGTTCAAAATGAGCAAACCGACTCTAGACGAGGGGCCTCTTTCCCATGGTGTAGAGTCCCAGGAATCGTGTATATGGGTATTTAGTCTCCTTTCTCTCCAGAGTTTCTTAGATTTACTCCCTTTTAAAAGGTGTGTCTGTATTTTTGTTTTCAAACGATTGTATGCATAGGTTTCAAGTACTGGCAGGCTTGAAACCCAGGAAACAGATGACTTATCAAGACAGGAGGCCATTCCCCGCTCTGGTTTCTCACTCTGATGTCCTAATGGTATTTTCTCTGGAGGCAGACTGATTTATTAGTCTGCTCTAATGGGTTTTGTTGTTCTAATAAGGAAATGTTATGAGTCTTCAAAGTGGGTTAGAGGAGTAAATGAAGTTTGGAAATAAATTCACCCTCGCTCCTTCCCTCCTTCAAAAGTTTCTTCTTTCTTCTCCTTCCCCCCGCCCCTTCATTTTTAAATTCTGTATCCTGATTATAAAGACAGCATATACCTAAGGTTAACACACACACACACACACACACACACACACATGCACACACACACACCCCTCTTAACAAAGACAGAAAAAACTTGCCCAGATGCAATAGCTATTAACATTTTGGGGAGAGTCCTTTTGGACAGTCTCTAGGTTTCCAGCAAGTAGATACACCATCTTTTGTTGATGGACAGCTCACTTTTTCTACTACAGGTAGTCCCCGATGTTGGGTCCCTTTCCGACCATTCTGTCGTAAGTCAGTTCTGATGTAAATTGAATACCTCTTTTTTTTTTTTAGTCTTCATTATTAATACCTCTTATTATCAGTGTCTCTTTGTCTTCGGGAGTTGGGAACATTACACTTAAACTTATAGATATATTTTAATATACACATACATACATAAAAAATACGCAAATCATAAAATTTACCCCCATGATAAAAAAGAGTTGGACAGCATTAGCATTTTGTCAGTTGCAGTAATAGCTCCACTTGTAGAAAGTTCTGGATCGTATGGATTATCTCTGGGAATGGGGATGGTGTTTCTAGTCAAAAAATTAGTGACAGTTGTTTCTGTGGTCCTTTTTTTTTTTGTTCATATATTTTTCATAACATCTCACTGCTTTCCAAATCTGCCTATTGACTTTAGCAAAGCGATCATGATTTGGGTTCATATTTTCAAGTAACTGAAGCCACTGATTTAGTTTAGAAAAATCTCCAGCTAGTCCTTTCACTGTAAAAATTTTTGACAACTTCTCTCCTTCCTCTTCCTCATTATTTCTTTCTTCTTCAGCATTTCTTTCGTCTTCAAAATCCATTAAGTCCTCATCTGTTAATTCCCCTTCTTTGTAATCTATGAGCTGTTTCACATCCACGATATCAAGTTCTAAATTCAGCATTCTTGCCACATGGATGATTTTTCCACTGATCTCTTCTAGCATATTTCCTGATCAAATGCTTAGAGCATGTTCATAACTCAGCAATTTTTTCCATATCCCCTGCTTGCATTTTCCCATAACTTCCTCCCAGGAAGATGTACTAACTATAAGATGTACAAAAAAAAAAAAAAGGACCGTAATAAATGTAGTTCGTCATAACTCGAATACGTTGTAAGTTAGGGACTACCTGTACTGAAAACATCCCTGCAATGAATCTTCTTGCTTACACATCATGTTGTTGTTATTGGTGCTGTTGAGTCGATTTCGACTTGTAGCAACCCCATGAGATAGGGTAGAACTGCCCCACAGGACTTTCTTGGTTGTAATCTTTACAAAAGCAAATTGCCAGGTCTTTCTCCTATGGAGCCGCTGGGTGGGTTTGAACTGCGAGCCTTGGTTAGCAGCCAAGCACTTAACCATTTGTTCCACTGAGGCTCTTTCACACATCATAGTGCATTGTAAAAGTCTGTTTTCAAGGTATGATTAAATATCTTTGGAGCCAAAACAAGAAAAAAAGTTGTTATGTGGTTGCTAGTATGGTCGTCATTCACTAGCACCTGGCACAGTATTTGTGACCTAGTGGGTCCTCAGAAATGATTGTCAAGTGACTAAATGAAGAAGGACATAGATTCAGACCTCTGAAAGATGAGAAGCTATGTATTATGAGACGTATCTGGGGAGCTGTGAGGACTGCAGAGACATGTAGGATGGAGATGTGGAGGGAGAGAAAGTATAGGTATTTAAGGCATTTGGAGGAGGAAGTGAGAGTATCATCTCCTGCCTTTCTCAATCTTCCTATAATGTGAGGTGTGAATGGGGAGGTAACCATCACAAGGTGAAAAGCAGGAAGCAGCAGAGAGGAGCAGGGAGAGCGTGAAACTGACTGACCACTTCCTGGATGGTTGCCTCACCTCTCTTCTCTAACCTGCAATTTCTCATCAGAAACAATAAGCAAGTAGGTGGTTATGGATGTCCACCTCACAGCATGCTTGTGAAGATTAGGGACCAGTTTCTCACAGTCGGACACAGGAAATGCTCAGTAAACATTTGCTGACTCAGAGGCATGAAGAGTTTCTGAATCTGACCCTCTTTAACCTACAGACTCAGGAAAATGCTTATTTTCAGGAAAACTGAAATATCAAATCCTAGCAAAGCCAAATGCACAGACATAAAGTAGGTCAACTTTTATTCTTGATCTTCTGTTTTGGAAGCTGTTAGGGGTTGAATTGTGTCCCCCCAAAATGTGTGTCAAGAGACACTAGGGAAAGATTAGTCCAAAGGACTAATGGAACACAACTAACTACCATAGCCTCCACCAGACTGAGTCTAGAACAACTAGATCGAGCCCGGCTACCACCACCAACTGCTCTGACAGGGATCACGATAGCGGATCCTGGACAAAGCTGGAGAAAAATATAGAACAAAATTCAAACTCACAAGAAAAGATCAGACTTACTGGTCTGATGGAGACTGGAGAAACCCCAAGAGTATGGCCCCTGGACACCCTTTTAACTCAGTACTGAAATCACTCTGAGGTTCACCTTTCAGCCAAAGATTAGACAGACCCATAAAACAAACAATAATAAATGTAGCTCAACCATGTAGAGACTAAATGGACACACACCCTAGGGGCAAGGACGAGAAGGCAGGAAGGTACAGGAAAGCACGATGAATGGAAATGGAGAATCCAAGGTCAAGAAGGGGAGAGTGTTGACATGTCATGGAGTTGGCCACCAATGTCACAAAATATGTGTATTGTTTAATGAGACACTAATTTGCTCTGTAAACCTTCATCTGAAGCACAATAAAAAAGAAAAAAAACTGTGTCAACTTGGCTAGGCCATGATTCCCAGTATTGTGTGGTTGTCCACAATTTTGTGATCTGATATGATTTTCCTATATGTTGTAAATCCTAACCTCTATGATGTTAATGAGGCAGAATTAGAAGCAGTTATGTTAATGAGGCAGGACACAGTTTACAGGATTAGGTTGTATCTTGAATCAATCTCTTTTGAGGTGTAAAAGAGAGAATCCAGCAGAGAGAAAAGAGACCTCGTGCCACCAAGAAAGCAGTGCCAGGAGCAGAGTGTGTCCTTTGGACCTGTGGTCCCTGCACAGAGAAGCTCCTAGACCAGGGAAAGATTGATGACACGGATCTTTCCCCAGAGCCAACAGAGAGAAAGCATTCCCCTGGAGCTGGCATCCTAAATTTGGACTTCTAGCCTCCTAAACTGTGAGAGAATAAACTTCTATTTGTTAAAGCCATCCACCTGAGATATTTCTGTTATAGCAGCCCAGATAACTACGACAAAAATTATGAACAAGAAGCCATTTGTTATTCACTGTGGTGGACTTTAAATATTGAATTGCCATAGCCCAGTGCCTTCTGTGGAGTATGCAATAGATGTTAATGAACATTTCATATATGTCCCCAGTTTTGCAAAATCGTAAGGTGGAGATTTCTTTGTTCAGTTTCCAACTTCCTTATACCTTATGCTTGTCACTTTTTCCTCTTTCTGTAGGAACAGCTTCATTTTAAAGAAACTATTTAGCTCTTAGGTGGCTATTGGTGTTTATTATTAATTTAAAACCATAACGGTTGAGTAGTTATGATGTGCTAAGATCAGTTATGATGTGCCAAGCACTTTACATGTAATGAATTATTTAATTTTTTCAACAGTCCTATGAGCTAGGACTATAATTAGCCCCATTTGGCAGATCAGAAACTGAGGCTCAACTTGCCCAAAGTTATACTACTAGCAAGTGGTGGAGGCAGAGTCAATTTCCAGAATCTGCTCCGATCCACTTCGTTATGTGGTCTTTTTTCTGAAGTTGAAAAATAAATTGTATCAGAAAAACAATGAATCAAATGATTGAGTCCTAAACTAATATGCTTTTATTATATTTGGAATTACTTAAGTGTGATCATCTTGTCTTTTTTTTTAACTGTAATGTAAATAATAAAATTGTTGTTGGGTGCCATCAATTTCAACTCATAGTGACCCCATGTGACAGAGTAGAACTGCCCCATAGGTCTTCTTGGTTGTAATCTTTATGGAAGCCAATTGCCATGTCTTTCTCCCATGGAGCCACTGGGTAGGTGTGAACTACCAACCTTTCAGTCAGCAGCTTAGTGCTTAACCATTGTACCACCAGGGCACCTTCAAAATAATAGAATACAGAATATAAAATTAGAAATTGCTTAAAGTTTACAGAGTGCTTCTATGCACAGAACTTTTTTCCTTTTTTTAAAAAAAGATACTATGTACATATAATAAAATGCCCCAATATTACGTGTTTGATGATTTTTGGTAAATGTATACAATTACCAACACTCTAATTAAGATTGAGAAGAGTTCCCTCTAAAAGTCCCTTCATCCTCATTGTCCTCCACCCTTACTGCCCACTCCTGGCCCGAGACAACCACAGATCTGCTTCCTGTTACAGTATTTTATTTCAACTGTCCAGCAATCCCCTGTGAGGTCAGTAGTGCAATGAGATCATCCCCATTGCCAGACTTAGCAAGTAGAAGTACAGAATGCCCAGTTAAACTGATTTGAGATAAACAACAAACACTTTTTTAGTGTAAGTATGTCCGTGCAATATTTGGGATGTATTTAACTGGGTGTCCTCTGTTTTATCTGGTGGCCTGGATTGAAAGGTTGGATGATCTCTTCCAGCCACTTCTCAGCTCGTTTTTGTTCTCCCTACTGCATGAAGTATGTGAAGCTGCTCAGAATCCTGAACCTGATTTAATACAAAGCACTTTAAAAAGAGAGGCAATATAAAGGCCCCATCTGTATGTGTGTGTGTATTTTGGTGAGTATAAGTTTCTGATGTTGACAAAGAATTTTGACTATACCATGGACTGCCAAAAGAACGAACAAATCTGTCTTGGAAGAAGTACAACGAGAATGTGTTTCCTTCACAATCTCAACTGACCAACCCAACTTCTCTCTGTGCCTTTAGGTAAATAAAACCAGTTTGGTTTACCCCTCCTCTCCTGCACCACCACCAACTGGATTTAAAGAAATCTGTGAAGGAAAAATTTCATTGATTCATTTTGGCCAAGTGTTAAAGGTGAGGCCATCCGGTGTAATGACATTGTTGTTGTTGTTGTTAGGTGCCGTCGAGTCAGTTCTGACTCCTAGCAACCCTACGTACAACAGAGCAAAACACTGCCTGGTCATGTGCCCTCCTCACAATAATTGCTATGCTTGAGCCCATTGTTGCATCCACTGTGCAGTCAATCTTGTTGAGGATCGTCCTCTTTTTCGTTGACCCTCTGCTTTACCAAGCATGATGTCCTTCTCTGGGGACTGGTCCCTCCTGATAACATGTCCAAAGTATGTAAGATGAAGTCTCTCCATCCTCACTTCTAAGGAGCATTCTGGCTGTACTTTTTCCAAGATAGAATTGTTCATTCTTCTAGCAGTCCATGGCATATTCAATGTTCTTCGCCAATACCATAATTCAAAGGCCTCAATTCTTCTTCGGTCTTCCTTATATTGATTGTCCAGCTTTCACATGCATATGAGACGATTGAAAATACCATGGCTTGGGTCAGGCACCCTTTAGTCCTCAAAGTGACATCTTTGTTTTTCAACACTGTAAAGAAATCTTTTGCAGCAGATTTGCCCAGTGCAATACGTTGTCTGATTTCTTGATTGCTGCTTCCATGGGCATTGATTGTGGATCTAAGTAAAATGAAATCCTTGACAACTTCAATATTTTCTCTGTTTATTGTTTATTTTCTCTGACGTTGCTTATTGGTCCAGTTGTGAGGATTTTTGTTTTCTTTATGCTGAGGTGTAATCCCTACTGAAGGCCGTAGTCTTTGATCTTCATTGGTAGTGCTTCAAGTCCTCTTTACTTTCAGCTCAATGAGCAGGAGACTTGTCTCTTTGCACACTCTGCCAGCATCAGTCGTGGCAATGCAGCAAGTCAGGGAAGCTTGCAAAGGACCTTTCAGTGGCAGGCAATGGCTGTGCCAGCCCACATGCACTGACTCGGTCCTCCTACCTGACGGTGCTGCCCAGCCTGGCTCCTTCTGCCCTCGAACTTCATCACCTCTTTCCCCATCTAACTTCTGTTCCCTATCAGGCTGGCCCACTCATTGCCTCTGCCCAGCTCCCATCCACTACCTGGGAAGACCCCTGGCTTCTGACCCACTTGTCAGGGACCAAGCCTTTCACAAGGCCCACCTCAAGCCTCGCTTCCTCTGGGAGCTCCCCCTTGATTGCACAAGATGCTTTTCTCTGATTCCTGTGTTTTTCTAGATTTGTGTTTAGACCTTGTCATGTTCCTCTTTTTGCGTGTACATTTTGTTTCCTCTGATTATTTAGGAGCAAAACAAAATATTTAATGAAGGAATGGGTGAAGGCTCTGGGTATAGAATACTGAGCACAGAATCCTGCCGCAGTAGAAGAAGAAGAAGATGATGATGATGAAGATGATAGTGAATAGACTGAGTCCAAGTCTGCTTCTCATTAGCCATAGGACCCTGGTGTAAGTCATTACATGTCCCTGGTTACTCCTCTGTCCAGGAGGAAGGATGACAACATTAATGATGATGGTGGTGATGATCTACCTCACAGAGCTGCTTTGAGGAGCAAATGGGATCGTACTGCTTTGAGCTGTGACCCTTTAGCTAGCGAATCTGGATTTTTGCTTACAAGGGAACTTGGGGAGGTGGAATGAACGACTCAGCATCAGAAGAGAAGACTGTAGAAAGGACACAGCTTGTGCTTAATTCCACTTGTCCCAGGTCATCATTACTCTGGGATGGGCATGAGGAGATTGTGCTGGGATTTAAAATGTATATATTATCTGAATATGGTCTTCCAAAACAAACAAATAAATAAATCTCTTTAAACAGTTTTTTGAAAGTGAGATTGGGCTAAACCCTGTTGTTGTTGTCTTGTGCCATCAAGTTGATTCCATCTCTTGGCAAAACCCTGTTGTTGTTACTGTTAGGTGCCATTGAGTCCTTTCAACTCATAGCGACCCCATGTGACAGGGTAGAACTGCCCAATAGGGTTTTCTTGGCTATATTCCAAGGAGCGGCTGATGGATTTGAACTGGTGACCTTTTGGGTAGCAGCCGTAGCTCTTAACCACTATGCCACAAGGGTTTTCTGGCTAAACCCTAGTACCAGATAATTCTCTGTGTGCTAATAGTTCGGATAGCTAAACCATGTGCAGATGAGACCTATAGAATAGGTTCTGCTTTGGAAGCGTTGAAGAACTTGTGGAGTTGATGACTGACTTTTGGCAGGTTTAGCTACTCTGTTTACTCTGTGTTTATCTATCCCCCGACCAGATTATAGAAGGGAGGGTAAAACATTCCTGGAGAAGGCAGCTCAGGTTGTAAAACCTGCTGGGAGGGTTTGTGCTCTGTGATGGGTATTAGACCCTTAATCTTTGTTGACATTTTCCCCAGCTCTGGCCTCAGGGTAGGCACTTCCCCCCAGATGCTCTCCTGCAGCTGCACAACCCAGGCAGCTCTGCTGGCTCAAGGCTGCTGTTATTAGAACCAATTCGAGAGCATCTGTGACATTTATGGACGCATGCCAAGGAAGACAATTGCCTTTTAAAGATCACTTAATCAGTTAATCAAGAAATAATTGCATGCAAAGAAGACAAATTTCTGATTCCATTTAATGACATTAGTAGAGATGGGTGCATAAATCCCAGTTTGTTTGAATAGTCCTGCCCAGGATGCTGCTACATCTGGGATACGTTTTGACAGTCTCAGGCACGGTAGGAAAATTTCCTTGAGTTTAAAAGAAATAGAATTGTTGCTATAAAATATTTTATACTACTAGATTTAGATGAGAGGTTGCAAACTTAAATGGCTACAAGGGTCAGGCAAACAATTTAAATGGCTTTAATTTTCTTTCAGCCATGGTACCATGTTAAAAACAACTGGGTTTCTGAGTGGTTTTCTTTCTCCTGTTTTAAGAGAATGATGCTGTACCTTATCTTCAAGCTGCCACTGTAAGTGTAGGACTGGAATGAAGGAAGGTGAACTTTTGATTATCTTAATTTTAAAAATAATTTTTTGGTACATCCGCTATTTAGCTTACATTAAAAACAATTATCACCATGATGTTGGGTGACATGTGGGTGGGTGGTAGACAAGAGGCTGATGGGTTTTCTGTTGAGATCACGTATAAACTTTATAGGAATTCTGTAAAAATCAGCACTGTCTGATAGAAATATAATGCAAGCCACATATGTAATTTTAAGTTTTATGGTAGCTATATTAAAAAGCATAAAAAGAAATGGGTGAGATGAATTTTAATAATATATTTTATTTAAACCAGTATATACAAAATATTATCATTTAAACATGTAAGCAATATAAAAATTATTAATGAAATAATTTTCGTACTAAGACTTTGAAATCTGGTGTGTATTTTAAACTTACAGCACATCTCAATACGGACTAGCCATATTTCAAGAGCTCAGTAGCCACAGGAGGCTATTGGCTACCACAATTGTAAACATTTGTCTAAGTTCAGATTTGGTGGAGGTGAAGATAGGGTGGGTTGAGGAATTAAGTTCCTAACTGTCATCACTGATATTACAGATGCTATTGTGAAATAAATTTAGGAAATATTGTATGACATGGGCAGTCTTGTAAAACAAAGGAAAAATAAAAATACAGACCAAATCTACCGAACTGAGACTGGAGTGATCAGCCTGTGAAGTGTCTAATAGTATCTTTAGAAACGGGTACTGTAATGAATTCCTCCTTAAGAAAATCAGATTATACTGTTTTCCTCCTTTTGGCCACCAGGAAGGATTATTTTTCAGTAAAGTGCTAGAGTGGGACTTGCCCTAAGAGGAGGCTTTGGTATCTCAGCCAGCCTTGAATTGGAGACTCACTCACCCAGCTCTGTGTTTTCTGGATCTCGCAGCTGAGGCGGATCTTTGGAAATTGCCTGCCGCCCTTTCCACCAAAGTACTATCTCGCAATGACTGCGTCGATGGCTAATGAGAGGAGGGACCAGTTGGAACAATATTTGCAAAATCGTATGTATTTGGTATTTTGTTTTATTTTTTATAGTTTATTGAGATGTGTTACACAAGTTAAAATTCACCTGTTTCAATTGTATAATTCGATGGTTTTAGTATACTTACAGACTTGTTGCAACCATCACCATAATCTCATTTTAGAACATATTTATCACCCCAAAAAGAAACCTCATACCCATATACTAGCAGGTCCCCTAGTCCCCTCCCCCAGCAGCTCCTGGCAACCGCTACTCTACTTTCTGTTTCTATAGATTGGGACATTTCATATAAATGAAACCATACAATATGTGGTCCTTGTATTTGGTTTTAAAAATATCTTATGTTCAGATTCACCCTCTGGTGCTGTATGTTGGCTTTGATTATTGGAGTCAAAGAAATGTTATCTGCTCCTTAGCCATGAGACCAGGCAGACGTTTTGATCAAGGAATCAATAGATGAATTCTGATCAAAAGGGGGAAAATATGGAACAGAATTTATTACAGAATCCAGACTCACTGGACCTATGGAGACTGGAAGACCCCTGAAAATGTCACTCTGAGGAAATCTTCAAACCATAAACCAAAAGTATCCCCCGAAGTCATCTTTAAACTAAACATCTATTTAGCTAAATTAGTAAAGAATGTTTGTCACGAGCATTTTGCTCTTAAAGAATTATCTATGTGAAAGCAAATTGTCAACATAACTCTAAAGCATAGGTGAGAAGTTTAGGGGGTAATGAGTCTAAGTCAACAGTGGTAAAACAATATGGGTAGAGATGTGAGAATGGCGACACAACTTGAAGAATGTAACCAATGTTATTGAATTGTGCATGTAGGAATTGATGAATGGGTATATGTTCTGCTGTGCATGTTTTCACCAAAATTAACATTGAAAAAAAAGAAGAAGAAAGAAGTGTTATCTAGGTTAAGACTGAACGAAGGGATGAGATGAGCTGTTTACATGAAAGCTCTTGGGAATTATCAGAGATATTTGCTGGCAATGCCAGAGATGGCACCTCCATCTCAACCCTCACCTGAGAAGGCATGCTAGGGCACCAGGACACTCGGAGGTCTGCCCTGGTCCCTGTGGGGCTTACAGTACAGCAGTCTTTGCTTATTGCCTGGGTCCCAAAAAATGCTGTGGACAGCAAAACTGGGTTGGCAAGATTAAGTTCTCACGGAAAAGAGGGGATCAGGGGTAAATAGCAAAAGTAGCATTAAAATATTTAAGCAGTTTTTTTTTTAATTGGAAAACAGAATACGCATAATACTTTAAAATATATAAACTGTATAAAAGTGTATGCAATGAACGATAATTTTCCCTCCAACCCCAGACCCCCATGCCTTCAGAAGCAAACACTATCACCAGTGTCCTGCGTATTCCTCAGAAACAATCTGTGTGTGTACTAGTGGATGTATGTCCCCCTTTTTATTTAACACAAATTGAAGCTTAGTTTACACATTTTTCTGTACCTTGATTTAAAAAAACAAAACAAAACTTTTATTTTGAAATAATTTCTGACTTATGGAAAAGTTACAAAAATAATACAAAGAATTTTTTGTATACCCTTCACCTAGATTAGCCAAATGTTAACATTTTATATTTGATTTAATCTCTTTCTCTTTCCTATGCATGCATATATATGTGCACATAGATAGATATACATGCATATACATATATAGGAGCCCTGGTGGCACAATCATTAAGCACTCAGCTGCTAACCAAAAGGTCAAAGGTTTGAACCCACCCACGGCTTCCAGGGAGCAAAGACCTGGCAGTTTACTCCCATAAAGATTACAGCCTAGGAAACCATATGGGGCAGTTCTACTCTGTCCTATAGGGTGGCTATTAGTTGGAATTGACTCAACTGCACATAACAACATATGCATATATATATATGTGTGTGTATATTAAATAAAGGAACCCTGGTGGCACAACGGTTAAGCACAGCTGCTAACCAAAAGGTTGCCAGTTTGAACGTACCTGATGGTTCTGCGGGAGAAAGACTTGGTGATCTGCTCTTATAAAGATTACAGCCTAGAAGACCCTATGGGGCAGTTCTACTCTCACATTGGGATCACTATGAGTCAAAATTGACTCGGCAGCAAATAACAACAACAACGAATATATACATATACGTATATATTTGTTGTTGTTATATGTATATATTTGTTGTTGTTAGTTGCCATCTGCAATACTATGAAGCATTTCAAAAAACAATACACACAAACAACAAATATATACATGTACACACATATATATTTTTTGAAATGCTTAATAGTGTTGCAGACATAAGCCACTTTACCCCTAAATACTTTTTAGACTATTTACTAAGATCAAGGACATTTTCTTACATGACCACAGTATGTTATCAAAATCAGCAAATTAACATCGGTACAAGAATGTTATCTAATCTAGAGACGTTATTCAAACTTCACCAACTATTCCATTAATGTCCTTCACAGCAAAAGAAAAGAAGTTTTCTTTTGTATGTTGATTTTTTTCTCTTAAAATATATATCTAGAGATCATTCTAGATCAGCAATTATAGATTAACCTTATTTTCATTGCTGTACATTATATGGATACATATGTACATATATATAATTTATTTTGTTGTTGTTGAGAATATACACAGCAAAACATATACCAATTCAACAGTTTCTACATGTACAATTCAGGGATATCGATTACTTTCCTCAAGCTGTACAACCATACTCACTCTCCTTTTATGAGTTGTTCCTCTCCCATTAATATAACCTCACTGTCCCCTAAGGTTCCTATCTAATTTTTCAAGTTGCTATATATATATATATTTTTAAACATGTTAAATAAAAGTTCTAGAAGTTATCTATTTCCCATTCATTTTCTGTAATGGAGAATATGCTTCTTTTTAACCAGTTGAATGAGCCCTTTCTAGCTCAAAATGTAACATGTTTTGAATTTTCATTCTCTCTTGGTTTGTTTCCTCAAGTCTTAAGGAAGTACTCCTTTAACACCTGATCTTTTCATAAATTATCACAATGCTTAAGATATCATTTTTCCAGGCCTGGTCTTTATCCATATCATCAGGATGTCTTATGCATCCTCCTGGAATTAAGACTTAAAAAAGCTGCATTGGGGCATTAGGCCGCCCCTACCAACTCCACCATCATGTCCATCCCCCTGAATTTCATCCATTGTTCTGGGCTTAGATCCATATAGTCAGGAAGCTCAAGTTCATCCTAGAATTTGTTTGAGGTTCAGAAGCTCCATGCGCAGAGACTTAAAACTTGGCCAGTTGTGAGCAGTGGAGTGGGTAGGGAGCCTGGTAGAAGCTAAACTTTAGGAAGGGATCACAGGACCCCGAAAGAGAAAAATGACCAAACCTAGTGAGGGAAGGAAGTCGGCCTGGTGGGCCTGGTGACCCACCATAGGGCCTAAGGGTCAGAGAGTTCTGTGTATGGGCGCAGAATGGGTCACATCTACTCATCACTCCCAAAATAATTTACTGCAAGGCTGGAACTATGGGAAAAGCTACCTGCTGCTTCTGAGCCCAGTGGACAGGCACCAAGTAAGAGAGAAGGGATTCGTCCCCGAGCCAGGTCCTGGAGCTCTTCTGACTTCTGCAGATACAGGCAGGGAAAGGGGCAGTGAGCCAGAGGGTAAGGCAACACGAATGATGGGCCAGGCCGGAGAGTCAGTACTGCCATTCTCTTTGGGACCTCAGAAGTAACCAAGGGGCCAGTCAGGGGAGGGAGAGACCCTGCAACTGAGGCAATGAAAATACAAATTACTGAGCTTATTGCGGAGTTCCTGGGTGGTGCAAACGATTTACACACTTGAGGGCTAACTGAAAGGCTGTCGGTTCGAGTCCACCCAGACACATCTTGGAAGAAAGTCCTGATGATCTACTTCAGAAAAATCAGCCGTTGAAAACCCCTTGTTGCACGTTTCTACTCTGACACACGTGTGCTCGCCATGAGTCTGAATCAACTTGACAGCAGGTGGTTTTCAGTATGCTCATTGCAAATACAATAACAATACCAACAGTTGACTGTTCTCCGCATTTAACCCATATTAACTCATTTAATCTCACCAGAACCCTGTGAGGTAAGATTATCATTACCATTTCACAGATAAGGAGACTGAGATGCAGAAAGCTTGAGCAATTTATCCAGGGTTATCCAGGGGTAAGTGGCAGAGTTGGGACTGGAATCCAAGCAGTCTGGTCTCAGAGGCCAAACTCTTAAGCACTGTGCCACACGGCATATGGAATGTACCATGACACCTGAGGCTTCGTATCTGGAGGGGGAACTGCCTAGGAGCAGAGATTCCCCCAAGTCGGGGCTTACGATGATCATGATTGCATCGCACCTCTGTCGCATGTGCTAAGCGAGGACAACTCCGAGGTGCTGGATGGTGTGTACAAGTGTATGTTTCTGGGAGTAAAGGTTTAATAAATACTAGAGACTATCCTTTAAAAGACAGATCACGCTACCACCTCCAAGAGAAATTCCTGAGTTAGGATACCTGTCTGAGTTGGAGGAAAACATCTTCTTGCTCTCCTATTTATTTATTTACTCTTTTGGTGGGCAGGGGGGTGGGTCCTATAACAGAAGGACTTGAGCACCCCAAGTACAAAGATTTTTACTAGGGAGAGGTTGATAGACTGCGTTGTTTGAGGTGGGATATTATGGCATGGAGGGTTAGGCAAGCCCTCATAATCACATGCTCAGGAGCCTCTGTTTCTTTATTTGTAAAATGGAGATATTTACCTCAGAGTTTGTTGCAAAGATAAAATGAGCTAAAATATACAAAGTACTTAGCACATTACCTGATACTTAACAGTTGTATAGTAAATACTAGTTAGATGAATACTTTTTCAACAGCTTTTCCCATCCCCAAGAATCCATGTTAATGATTCTAAGCTTATTTTGCATAAATACCACATAGATGCTAGGAAATTAGGCACCGGCTTGTTTATTTTCCCCTGAGACTCCCCCTCAGGAAGGAGGGAATGCCTTTTATAAAAAGCCTTTCATGTTACGGAGACTCACTTACCTTATTTTGGAAAACATAGCACTACTTGGGAAAGGAGCAACCTGAAATTAATCAGTCAGTGCTAGATTTGAATACTGTTGGAGGTTATTTGATGAAATCAGTAAAACAACAACCAAAGGGGTGAGGGTAGGAAGGAAATTTAACACGGATTTGGTAAGTGTATAAGTTTAGCTAAAATTCAGGGTCCAGGAGGAGAGGATTGTGGGAAGGGAGATTATAAACAGGGAAGCCAGCCAGCTGCATCCGTGTGTTTGGAGTTCTCAGGTGGAATGTCTCCTCATTCTGCTTTGGCCGCAGGACCTGGGTATTGGTGTCTGGAGCTTTAAAACTAAGGGGGAAAATATACTTTTTCAGTAGAATATCTTGCTAAATAAAATACCTTAAATTTCTCTGTCTTATAACCATTTCTTTTGTAACCTCAAGAGCTTTTGGCATTAAAAGAGGTCCTCTCAAAATTTAAAATTTTCAAATTACCAATTGTCTTGCTAAACTGGGAGTCCAGATCCAAGTTTTAAGATATTTTTGCTGCTTCATATTAATTTCATTATCATCCTGGAAGGGAAGTGAGATGGACATGGAGCACTAAACATGAATGAAGTGAGATTTCTGTGAACACAGTCACCCTGGATTGGTGTCGTGGGTTCACGTGTTGTCAAGGCTGCCTGGAGGAGGCAAGCTTTGTGGATTTCTGTGTCTATGAAAGCTACCAGCTCTACCTCCTTCAAGGAGGCAACAGAACCCTAGCAAGGCATGGAGAACCCCTGGGGAACAGAGCAATTTGATAAAGAAGGCCCGGCCCAGCCCCCTGCTAATTCATTTTGCTGTCCATATTTTTCAGTAACCATGGACCCAAACGTGTTGAGAAGTGATGTCTTCGTTGATTTTTTAAAACAGTTACAGCTGGTAAGCTTGCTGTTCTTTAATGAGGCCATTATTTCTCTTCAGAACACGTCTGTTATTTAACCACGCGTGTACGTGTGTGTCTGTGTGTGTGTGTGCGCGCGCACATGCGTGTGTTTCTGGCCTTCATCCACACAGAGCCGGGACTCTTGGGTGAAATACATTCATTTGGAGTAGATCAGAGGGTCAATAGTTTCTATTTTGTTCTTTTGGAGATTTAGATTCTAGATGGAAAATAAAGTTGTTTCACTTGACCGTTGGCTCATTTTAATTAAGAAGTTACTTTTTCTGTAGCCTAAGCATTGTACGTTTCAAAACCGGCCATGAGGAAGACAGCCTTAGAGTGTGGAAAAAGAACTACAACTTTTATTGCTAAGGGATCCCATGACATGTGCGTGACCCTAGTTTTGTAGCTAAAATTTCCAAGTGTACCAAGGTAAAGACATCAGAACAGTGGGCCATGCTAGCTACTACTTGTATATTCTCTGCTCTTAGCTTTACTGTAATGGGTTATGGAGAAAATTCAGCCTGAATCGCTTGAGGCACCGCAACTCCATTTCCTTTATCAATCTAAAGAGTTGCTGGCCACTGGGCGCCTAGAGGCTGAAACTTCACTAGGGGCATTTGTTTAGCACATCTCTTATTCTAATTGTACACATGGGACCATTTTTATGCCTGCGTGCATGTGCTTGACTGAATGGAAAGCTCTGAAAGGATTGCAGTTGTACAATAATATGCTGTTATTGAACTTGATCCCTATCTAGGGGAGGAATGATACCTTGATCAGATTTGCAAAAACTAGAGCCATGTTGTTCCATAAGCAACATTTCCTTCATACAGTGGTTCACGTGTACTGGCAGACCACCCTGAGACCTGTCCCCACCACCTCCCATTGTGTATTGGTTCATATTTTTACATATACTTGATGGTTTAAAACTATATACGTTCTTTTTTCTTTGAAAAGTTCCTTGTGTGGTGGTGATGTTGGTGGTAGTCAAATTCAAACAGCACGTGGGGTAACCATGAGTCAGAATCTATGGCAACTGGGTTTTTTGTTTGTTTGCTTGTTTTATTGATACATTATTATTAATTAAAGCCCCTACTTAATTCAGATTTCCTTACTGGTGCCTTATGTCTTTTTCTGTACCAGGATCCCATCCAGGATACCTCGTTACAAGTAATTGTCAAGTCTCCTTAGTCTCTTCTTGGCTGTGACAGTTTCTCAGACTTTCCTTGTTTTTGATGATCTTGACAGTTTTGAGGAGTACCGGTCAGGTATTTTGTAGGTTACACCTCTACTGGAATTTATCTAATGTTTTTCTCATGATTAGACTGGTGTTATGGATTTTGATGCGGAAAACCACAGAGGTAAAGTGCCATTTCCATCACATCATATCAAGTGCATAGTAGCCACATGATTATCACTGCTAATGATGACCTTGATCACCTGGCTGAGTGCGTGTTGGCAAGTTGTCAAGTTACTCTTTTTTCCCTCCTTTCCATACTGTACTCTTTGGAAGGAAGTCACTATATGCAGCCCACAATTAAGGAGTGGGAATTTATATTACCCTCCTTTATTAATTTTGCTGTTCAAATTGTTTCAGCTTTGTGCATTGGGAACTCTAATTTGGTTCTTGTGTCCCTTTGACACACACTCATCAGTGTGTTTTGTTTTGCTTTTGTTTTTGGAGTATTTTTTCTTTTTTAACTTTCTGCTCCAGGCTCATCTTGTATATTTCCTGCCCTAGAAACAGTCCTAGAATCAGCTGTTTCTCACAAGAGCTTTGCTTCATTTTACTGGAGAATGGTATTAGGAGCCAAGATCTGGGCTCCAGATCATATCCTTTTTGCTTAACAAAGAAGCACATACTCTACACACTTGCTTTACCTTGTTTTTTAAAACTGACATCTTGCAGATTATTCTATATCAAGACACAGACATAAGTTTGTTCTTGGTTATATCACCTATTTTGCACCTTGTGGTTTTTGTTCTTAATGCTTTTTAAAAAAATGCTTTGGAGCTTTGATTTGTGTGTCTTTTTTTTTCTTTCGATAATTTGAAGGATTTTTATCTGATTTTAGTTTTCTTAGTACCTTACCTTTATAACCTTATATAACTGTCTTATGCTACCAGCTGCATTTTATCTATCTATCTGTCTAAGCAAGCAAGCTTCCCAGGTGATTGTGCTCTGTGGCCAGGTTTGGGAACTCCTGAAATTACAGTATTACCTGTCTCTCCGTGCCTTAATTTTAAATATCTAGACCAGAGAATCTCATTGGCCCAGTTTGGGTCAGATGTCCTCCCCTCCTCTAGCTAGCTGTGTCCAGGGGTGTGGGGGTAGCAATTCATAGGACTGCCATTTCTTGGGGCTATGGATGGAGCACATTCTCTAAGGAGAGGGTATAGGAAGAGAGGCAGCGCTTCACCTTTCCTCCTTCACCCCAGCTCTCCCTTACAATAATCCCATTTTAATCAGTGATGCAGCCATTTTCCCAGTCTCCTGCTATAGAAATCTCGGCATCATTTATTCAGTAAGTATTTTCTGAATGTTTGCTGATTACTAGGGCACATACTTGGTGCTGAGGACACAATGGCAGCAGGTGAGATGACTGAGGGGCAAGACTACGGAGCCTCTGACCTCTGTCGACCTGAGTGGTGGCCAGTGTGGCTGGAATGCTGAGACCATGGAGACGGGGTGGAGGAGGAGTACCACGATGAGGCTGGAAATGGCGGGAAGGGCAGATTATGCAGGGCTTGGAGGCCAAAAGAAGAATTTCATTCCTTGTCCAAGGACAGTGTAAAGACACTGGAGGGGTTATAAGCAAGAGAGGGACATTTTTAAGTTTACATCTTAAAAATATTTCTTTGGCCGCTGTGTGGAGCATACTTTGTAGGAGGGAAGAATGGAAGCAAGGAGACCGGTAGGGAGGCGATTGTAGAAGTCTAGGGGAGAGGAGATGTTAGTTGGGTCTAAGGCGCTGGAGGTGGAGATGGAGAGATGTGGGTGGATTCAAGAGATAGTTTAAGATGTAAAATATAGCAAACTCAGTATTAGATTGGATTTGAGTGGTGACAACATCTTTGAATCTCTTTTGACTTTATTTCTTACCTGTAGCCACTAAGTCAAATCAAAGTTAAGTTACTTCCTCCTTATCCCTACTGCTAAACAAGTAAGCTACCATTTGAATTTTGGCCATGAGTGCTGTTCTAAATTCCAGGTATGTTACCTCCTTGACTCCTCACCACAATCCTAAGAGGTAGGTACTATTACTGTCCTTATTTTAGAGCTGATGGAATGAGGAATAAAGAGGAGAAGTAGCTTGCCCAGGTTTATACAAGGTCATATGCAGCAAGTGGTGGAGCTATGCTTGGAATCCAGGCAGTCAGCTTTGTGGCTTGTGCTCTTCTCAATCACCATGGTCTAGTCCAGTCCTGCAGCACCTCGAGGGTGGATGGCTGCAACCAACTTCTCTTTCAGGTCTCTCACATCCTCCAATGTGTCTTCCAGTCCATTTTACACCACACTGCCACACAAATCTCCCTATAACTCCATTTCCATCTTTCCGTTTTCCTGACCCAGACTCACCATGGCTCCCTTTTGCTTTTTTAATACAACCTTCAGTCTCTGATTTCAGGACCATCTATAATCTGACTCACTCTACCAATCCATCTGCTTCCTCACTTTTCTTTTGCAGAAGAATTTAATAAAGAAACATATGCATTTATATTTTTCCCTCTATACTTTTTTAAGGGTTTACTTTATATTTTTAAAATGATTTATTTTATTTTGTTGTTATTATTGTTGAAAATATCCATAGCAGAACATACACCAATTCAACAATTTCTACATGTACAATCCAGTGACATTGATTACATTCTTCAAATTGTGCATTCTCACCTCCTTTTCCAAATTGTTCCACCCCCATTAACATAATCTCACTACCCCCTAAGTTTCCTGTCTACCCTTTCAAGTTGCTGTTGTCAATTTGATCCCATATAGATGGTTCTTTAAAAGAGTACAATGCTCAAGGCAGACATTCTTTACTAATTGAGCTAAACTATTGTTTGGTTTAAAGAAGACTTCAGGGGCTATTTTTGTCCCCTATAGTTTTTCAATTGGTTTATTGTGGTAAAATATTATGTATAACAAAATATTTGCCAACTCAACATTTTTTACGTGTACAATTCAGGCACATTGATTACATTCATCATATTGTACACCTATCACCCTTATCCTGCATTTATATAGTTTAGACAGTTACTGGTCTGCAATAGTTTGCAGTCAGGTAACGAATGCTAGGCTTTCCTTTGGAATCTTATCAAAAAGCAATGCCATTCTTTCCATTCATTTTGTGAGGTCCCCCTCACCCCAAAAGGTGTTTGTGAGTTCAGGCCAAAAAACTTTAAGAACCTATGACCTAACTAAGTTGTGTCTAGAAAGGGATTATTCAGAATAGTCGTTCTTGGGCAGCCCCTTACCCCTGACTACCTGTATCTCAGGAGCCGTGATGGCACAATGGTTAAGCCCTTGGCTGCTAACCAAAACGTCTGATGTTTGAACCCACTGTCTTAGTCATCTAAGTGCTGCTATAACAGAAGTACCACAAGTGGATGGCTTTAACAAAGAGAAGTTTATTCTCTCACAGTCCAGTAGACTACAAGTCAAAGTTCAGGGCATCAGCTCTAAGGGAATTCTTTCTCTCTCTGCTCTTGAGGAAGGTCCATGTCATCAATCTTCCCTTGGTCTAGGAGCTTCTCTGCACAGCAACCTCAGGTCCAAAGGATGCACTCTGCTCCTGGCACTGCTTTCTTGGTAGTATGAGTTCCCATGTCTCTCTGCTCGCTTCTCTCTTTTATATCTCAAAAGAGATTGGATCAAGACACTATCTAATCTTGTAGACCTCATCAATATGACTGCCACTAATCCATCTTATTGCATCATATCATAGCATTTACAACACATAGGGAAATCACATCAGATGATAAAATGGTAGACAGTCATATACTACTGGGAATCATGACCTAGCCAAGTTGACAGATATTTTGGGGGGACACAATTCAATCCATGACACCCACCATCCACTCCATGGGAAAAAGATGTGGCAGTCTGCTTCTGTAAAGATTATAACCGAGAAAACCATATGAGGCAGTTCTACTCTCTCGTCTAGGGTTACTATGAGTCTGAATCAACTTGATGGTACACAACACATTTGGCCGTATTTCCGCCAAATGTGGGGCCTGGGAAGCGCTGCAGGGGAATGAGGGATCTCATTCAAAACTCCACTGGAATGCTGTAAGGTAGAAGTGAAGGCATAAAGAGAGTGTCGCCTGAGGTATGTAGGAAGCTCAGAGCCTGCGCTGTGGAGAAGGGAGACAAGTGGCTCTGGCATTCTGTTGAAGGGTTTCAAGTGGTTCTCAACAGATGCTGAGAGGTGGATTATTCCAGCACTGGGTATTTGAAGGGAACACCTGGTAGGTGGTTCAGCATTTGCTGATCCAGAGGCTAGTAGTGACACTGAGAAGCTATCGAACTCTTTGAAAAGTTACAAACACAGTGATCGAGGAAGTAGCAAATTCACATCACACAGACAGAAACTTATTGTACGTGGCGGGAGGCACCATAACATGGCAGCTGAGCGTTAGGATGGCTATAATATTTATCAGCCAAACCAGGACACTGTTGAGAGTGAAAGGAATGCTATAATTACTATGCTGAGATGACAGACTGATTCTAGAATCTCCTGGGCCAGCCGGGAGATAAGTTCACCCTATTTCGAGCCCAGACCCTAGACCCTAGAGTCATGCAGAGCTGATCTTGAGTCCTGCCTCTGCCACCAACTAGCAGTGTGTCCCTGGCAAATTATTTAACCTCTGTGAACCTTTACTTCATCTGAAAAATGAGGTTGTTATGAGAATTAAATGAGCTATTGTATGTGAAGCAGAACAGAGCACAATTATCAGTGCTGTGTTCTAACATTATATTTGTATGTTATGAATACATGAATCTTACATTTATTCCTAATGATACGCTATATATACAAGTTGCTCATATATATAGTTATAATATGTAAGGATATGTTGCTTTCTTGGACCGACCCTTTGAATTTGGAAAGAAGTAGATTTCTTTTCTGAAATACTTAGGTTCAGAATCATAGAAACTTAGTAATTTTAAGTATGTGAGGATGGAAGTTAAAATTTAAAGTAAAAGGTTGCCCTTTGATGATACAATCAGGAAAAATAAATCTGTCACTAATGTGATCAGGCTTTTGAGATAGACCCTGCCTTGCCTCGAGCAATGTGACTGAGTTCTCAGATCCCCCTGGCTTCCCACAAAGCCTTATGACAACTAATCTGTGGTGTCTGTGAATGGCAGAGGTGAGGTCAGTAGGCCTGAGGAAAGGGGAGGTGTTGTCTGTTGAGGGGAAAGGATCTCACCTGGTCAGCTTACCTGAGCACCAATTCCATGATCCTCAAACCATTTTCTCATTGGTTGTTTGAATCTCCCCTCCTTCAACCTGATACCAAGGAGGAGGTTGCGTGGTTGGATGTGAATAATCTAGTCACTAAAAGAGATCGTCGCCTCCTACTCCCACTGTAATTTACTGGTATTCTGGTTTATATAGTCTCAGAACACAGAAAATGGTACAAGTGACTCATCTCAATTCTCCCAGGGATGATACATGACTAGTACCATTCTAAACGCCTAGGAAAGAAGTTAATTTGTTACACACAATGGATGCCTTGGGGCATTAGGGTTTAATTCTCTTGTGGTACCTGGCATGAGAAAAACTGTGAATCAGCCTCTGAATTGACAGGATCATATTCGGGAGGTGCTGAGAAAAGTCCACCCTGATGCTGCCACCCTGTGAGGCTCTGTCTGGACAGCCATTGGTCTCTCTAGGCCTTGCCTCCTCTTGGAATCCCACTCTTTATGGTAACTGTAAGGAGCCCTGGTGGCGCAGCACAGTGGTTAAGCACTTGGTTGCTAACTGGTAGGTTGGCAGTTTGAACCCACCAGCTGCTCTACCGGAGAAAGATGTGGCAGTCTGCTTTCATAAAAATTACAGCCTTGGAAACCTAGGGGCAGTTCTACTCTGTCCTATAGGGTTGCTATCAGTCTGAATCAACTTGATAGCAACAGGTTTATGGTAACTGTAGCATTAACTTCAGCCTCATGCTTTCCTAAACTCTGATAGCTTTATAGTGTCTCAAGGGTATCCATGACATTCTAAAACACTCCATCCCAAGAACTTCACAGGTTCTCAAGTTTGCAGCTGCCTATAACATATGTCCTTTCTTCCCTCACAGAGTGCTTACTCATGAGAAGAGCTGTGGCAGGTCCTCAGCTGGGCTCTCTCTTGCTAGATAGCGACTTGCTTCCCCACACTGGCCTTGTCATTTGTGCAACTCAGATTTTTGCTGTAGCAAAATCGTAAATTACTGCATTTCATGGACTTTTGAGGGTGCTTGGGAATGTTCAAAACTAGGAAAAGTAATTAATTCTGAGACTACCAAGCGTCATGTAAACGATTTTATCAAATGCCTTTTTTTTTCCTAAAATGGATTCCCTGTTTATTTGGAAATTATTCAAGCTTCGTGTCATTGCTTTGATTTGGTCCCTCTCTACACCTCTCCTTACCTACATCCTATCCCCTAAGAGAACCCCCCTCCCAAATCTCTGCACCTGCCTCTTGGTACCTTTGGGTCCTCTAGTGCCTGAAGAGCACCAGGGAGAGAAAACTACTGACTGCTCACTCCATGAAGTATGGAAGCTTATTTTGCTTTCCTTTTGCTTACAGAGCACGTTTAACATCACCGCCAAGAGCACCTCTCTGGATATATTTCTGCCTGATGGAAAGAGCATTAAAATAGAAATTGTAACATCAGATACTGCTGAAAGAGTCCTAGAGGTAAAATTTAAATGCCAGCTCCAGAACGGAATTTAGGAATAATTCTGTTCAAAAGCAGAGACTCTAGGACATGATTACCTTCCACATGCCTCCTGCCTATCATTTTAGTCTCTAGATGACTTGTCTAGAGATGCCAGGATTTTCTGGGAGACCAACCAAGGAATCTGGGATACAGTCAATCCTCCAGGACCTCTTTGGTTTTATTCTCCCTGTGGGCATCAGTGTTTTGGAGGTTTCTTAGGTCTTTTCAAAAGCTATTGTTACTTCCCTGAAACTCAGCCAGGCATGTGCCCTGAAAATATGCAAAATATTTTCTTATGGGATGCGCTGTGGTTGGGAGCAGGAAGGAGGGTGGAGTCCAGCTGAGTCTGAAACAGGCCATACCGAGGTAGGTTGGTGACAGGTTCTAGAAGAAAATGACGAGCCTTTCTTGAAAGCTGAAAGAGTTGTCCCTCTTCCCCTACAGGAAGAGCCCCTGAAACCACATTCCAGTTAGTCTAGTTCTGTCCACAGGGTCCAGAGGACCAGACCTCAATTTTAATCAGTTCTTTGAGAACTCCAAGGATGAGACCCAGAAAGCATCTTCCCCTTCAGATTTGGCTGTTACCAGCTCTGCCTCCCTGGGCTTGCCTCCGGCTGCAGAGGGGACGCTGTCTTCTCACACCCACGTACTGCTCCCAAAGGCCAGCTCCCAGGCCTTTTTCCTTTGGAGGGTTCTAGTTCTAATCCCTCAGAGAAACATACGAGTGGGAATAAAAAATTATAAACAAGAGGAAGTCGGAAAGTTTCTAGGACCTTTCGAAGGAAAGAAGGTTCTCGTGCGCGGGTCATGATATCTGACCTTTGCTTCTCCCTCTCTGCCCCACCCTGTCCTACCTTATACTTTTTAATGGACTCTTTAAGGATGAATAACAAGCTTAAATCTCTTCTTCATTTTTTATACACTAGTGCTCATGTAGTTTTATTGGTGATGTTTGTGTTTTGAAACTACGTTAACATTTGCGGAGAGAGACAATATTGTTGTGTCTCTTTTTGCCAGTGCTCACTCCTCTCAAAAGAAGGTGTTTGTATTTAGATCTTTATAAATTATAAAACGTTTCTCCATTCTCTTTTTCCCCCACTAATCTCTATTTACCTTGGCAAGTAAGCTTGCTGTTTTCACTAAATGAGTCACAGAAGAGAGAAATTTAATTTGAGTGGGCATGTGTCATATTTGCTTTAGGAAAAAGATGTCTTTACTGTGCTATTAAGGAGCTCTGGTGGTACAATGCTTAAGAGCTCAGCTGCTAACTGAAAGGTCTGTGGTTTGAACCCACCAGCTGCTCCATGGGAGAAAAGACTTGGCAATCTACTCCCGTAAAGATTATAGCCTAGGAGGCCCTATGGGGGCAGTTCTACTCTGTCATATATGGTCCCTATGGGTCGGAATCGACTCAGTGGCACACAGCAGCAACAACTGTGCTGTAACATACCAGTACACACTTACCCGGACAGCATCTCCAATCCGCAGAAGAGCCTGCTTTGGTTTTTTTGCAAGGCTATGGGGAGAAGAGTAAGGGAGAAAGACGGAAGGTGGGAATGAACATGGAGTAAAAGTTGTGAAAATATTTCTAGGCTATTCTTTATTTTCAAAGCTATACTGAGAACACCCACTCATACCATCCACCTAGTAAGACGATCTCACAAGGAAATTTGCAGACCTCTGACAAGAAAAGTATCCTCTTTGCGCCTGGTGTTTGTACAATTGCCACCTAGAGAACTTGGATTCGTGGTTAGAGCATCAGTTCACATACAGAGCTGTACAAGTGAATTCACCCCACTTACATGAAATATCTGGAATAGGCAAATGCGTAGAGACAAAAGTATATTAGTGGTCACCAGGGGCTGGGGGGAGAGACAAGGGTGGGGAGTTATTTCTGAAGGGGTACTGAGTTTCTGTTTGAGGTGAGGAAAAACTTTTGGAAATAGATAGTGGTGATGTTTGCACAACGTGGTGAATATAATTAATGTCACTGAATTGTGCATTTAAAAATGGTTAAAAATGGCAAATTTTTTGTTATATATATTTTACCACAATAAAAAAGAAGCAAATCTTCCCATGCTGCAGAGGTGATTTAGAGAATTAAGACCCAGAGTGCAAAAAAATCATCTAAGAGCCCTAAAGAGGGGCTGGGGCTGATGGGGACGGAGATGGTTTGTTTACCACAACATGGAAAGTTTTTGTTAAAGGAAGGTGTAAACCAGGGCATTACAGCTTGATGGCCTTTTGGTAAAAATGAAGCCATTGGTGTAAAAATGAAGGCTCTTTGATGTAAAAGTCAGAGGAGAATGTGAAGTGAGGGCAGCCCATGCCTGGGATTTGAGTTTTTTCCCAGAGAAAACATCATAGTAAATTAAACTTGAGGTTGTTGGTCGTTCTGTGGCAGAATTCTCATCTTCAGTGTGGGATACCCAGGTTCAATTCCCGGCCAGTGCACCACATGCACAGCCACCACTTTTCTGTCAGTGGAAGCTTGTGTGTTGCTATGATGCTGAATAGGTTTCAGTGGAGCTTCCAGATTAAGACTAGGAAGAAAGCCCTGGCAATCAACTTCTGGAAATCAGCTGATGAAAACCCCATGGATCACAACAGTCCAATCCACAGCCAATCATGAGAATGGTGCAGGACTAGGCGGCATTTTGTTTCACTGTGAATGGGGTCACCGTGAGTCAGGAGCTGGCTCGATGGCAGCTAACAATGACAGATTAGATTTGACCATCACAGGAGACATCAAGGTGAGATGACCCTGGGGTGTCAAAGCCAGGCAGTAACCTGTACACTTTTATACTTCAGCCAAGTGGAGGGGAAGGAGCACCTGATATTCCTTTTCTGAAATCTGGTAAATTGGTGTGAGGGCCCCAGGTCAGGTATCACAGGACAGATGTTCATGGAGAATGACTACTGCCCTCCAGTGGACAATAAAGACCAAAATGATCAGAGGCTTGGGTCCAAGTCCACATATGAGATAGGACAGCTAGCCTCAACTGAGACTGGTTCATGTCCATTATGGTGGGAGTGATTTTTAATTTCTTCACTCTAATCTTTTGTATTTCTAAATTTTCTAAAATGAGTTGACACCATTTCAGATTCAGAAAAGCTTTTTCGTGTCCAATAGGCCATTAAAACACTGCTTATTGATGTTTAAAGGCAATGTCAAATTTTGTATTTACAATTAGTAAGCGTGCACGGCTAACATTTTTTCACCTTTTTCTTGTCTCTGGTTAAAGGTAGCGTCACACAAAATTGTACTGTGTCGGGAGCTCTTGGGCTACTTCGGCCTTTTTCTTATTCGGTTTCACAAGGACGGCAAGCTCTCTGGTAAGAAGGAGAGAAGAAAAGCGTGTGAGCCAGGAGATGGGTGGGCAGGTGCAAGCAAAGCCTCCGCCTAGGAGATGCAGGGGACAGCTGAGGGGCCTGGTTACCCAGCATCCTCAGGGGAGCTCCCCAGTGTGTGGTCTCTACTTCTGTCTCACACCCTGGGTCAAAGGACTGGGGAGTGGTGAGGATGCCTCTGTACTGGGCAAGCTGGGGGCGAGAATGGGGCGGTGACAACTACGGAGAGGTAGCGCGGTCAGGAGCAAGATGTCAGGTCTTTGCAGTAACTGCACTTCCTCTTGTGCCTCCCCAAGCCCAATCCTGATGCCTGCCGCACGTTTACCATTCTGTTCTGACCCTATATCCACCAGCTACCTCACAAGTGCCTTGTGAATGGAGTGCTAGACACCAGGTATCAGGACATTCCTTCTGAGCATAATTTCTTTTTGTCATAAAAGATGTGAATGATATATAAATAAGTTCTTAGATTCTTTTTTTGAAAAGGTATAATGAGATGAAGGCACCTTGGTGGTGCAATGGTTAAGCGCTTGGCTGTTTACTGAAAGGTTGGCTGTTCAAATCCATCCAAGGTCTCCGTGGGAGAAAAACCTGGAGATCTGCTCCTGTAAAGATTACAGCCTAGAAAACCCTATAGGACAGTTCTACTCTGTCACATGAGGTTGCTATGAGTTGAAAATTGACTCGATGGCACCCAACAACAAGAGCAACATAATGAGGTGGTAAGAGATGGCAGTATGATTCAGATAGCTCCTGCTTTGCTCCACAGTACCTTTCTAGATATTATAAAGTTTTTAGTTGTGAAATGGTATCAGTCATCTTACAGTAGTTTACATATGTCCTCAAGAAGCTGTGAGAGGTGGTTTTGAGTCAGAAGTCAAGGGGTTTAGGTCTCAGTTCTACAGCTAGGAGCTGTGGTGTACAGCCAAGGTGCTAGGCTCTCTGGACCTCAGTTTCTTTATCTGTAAAATATCCCCTACTCAAGCCACAGGCATTTTATGGGAATCAAATTAAGTTTATTTTTTTTAATGAACTTCAGAAAGTTAAATTATGTACAAATCCAAGAGAATCTTACTATTTTATTCTTTTATAACAGTAATGTTTTATTTTCCTATTTTAAGCTTCTGTATGTAAACTATTAGTGCTATTTCAACCAATAAGGCTCCCTTTTCCCCTTTTCTAGTCGTGAAAAAAATGGCAGACTTTGAACTCCCTTATGTTAGTCTTCAAAGTTCTGAAGTGGAAAACTGTAAGGTTGGACTCAGAAAGTGGTGAGTAAGTATTTACTGTGACAGTAAGCATTTGAGTATTTCTCACCATTGCTGGAAGTCCGTGGGTGGTATAAATGGTTAACTCACTCGGCTGTTGACCAAAAAGTTGAAAGTTGCCATGAGTCAGAACCACCTAAACGGCAACTGGTTTACCATTGCTGGTCAATTAAGGAAGTACGTGCTGAAGCTTTTTTCTTTTTCTGTTCCCTCTAGCAAGCCAAAGTATTCAGAGTGCTCTTTCAGGGAGAGTGAGTTGAGAAAAACATGGCAGGAATGTAGAGTGTGCAGGAGGGAGGAGGGGTTAACAGATAGGAATGGAAATGAAAGCAAGGGTGGTCTCACAAAGGGCCTTAGAAGGGAGCAGGATCCAACTCCTAGGTCTATGAGATTCTGAAAGGAAGAGATCACTCTGACTAGAGTGTAGAAAGTGAGCTTGAGGAAACCCTGACTAAGGCAGACGGCCTGGTGAGGAGGTTACTGGAGCAGTTTAGGCAAGAGATAGGGGTAGCCTGGGTATAGGGCAGATGAATATGCTGGGAATTACGTGGGGTGGAGGAAGAGAATCTGGGAGATGGTGACCAAGAATGGGAACTGAGTGTCAACAGGGATGCAGATGATTCCCCTAAAGCTTTCTTTTATTGTTATTACTATTACTTTGCATCTATTCTCTCAGAGGCCACCAGACTAGGCCTTATGTTATTGTTGTTGTTGTGTGCTGTCGAATTGGTTCCAATTCATAGTGACCCTGTGTACAACAGAAGGAAACACTGCCCAGTCCTGCACCATCCTCACAGTCATTGTTATGCTTGAGCCCTTGTTGGAGCCACTTTGTCGATCCATCTCCTTGAGGGCCTTCCTCTTTTTCGCTGACCCTCTGCTTTACCAAGCATGATGTCATTCTCAGGGACTGGTCCCTCCTGATAACATGTCCGAAGTATGTGAGACAAAGTCTTGCCATCCTTGTCGCTAATGAGCATTCTGGGTGTACTTCTTCCAAGACAGATTTGTTCATTCTTTTGGCAGTCCATGGTATATTCGATTATACTATATTCATGGTATATAGTCTTCTTCGCCAATACTATAATTCAAAGGCCTCAGTTCTTCTTCCGTCTTCCTTATTCATTGTCCAGCTTTCACATGCATATGAGGCTATTGAAAACACCTGGCTTGGGTCAGGTGTACCTTAATCCTCAAAGTGACATCTTAGCTTTTTAACACTTTAGAGAGGTCTTTTGCAGCAGATTTGCCCAGTGTAATACTTCGTTTGATTTCTTGACTGCTGCTTCCATGGATGTTGATTGTGGATGTTAGCAAAATGAAATCCTCAACAACTTCAATCTTTTCTCCGTTTATCATGATGTTGCTTATTGGTCCAGTTGTGAAGATTTTTGTTTTCTTTATGCTGAGGTGTAATCCATACCGAATGCTGTGGTCTTTGATCTTCATTAGTAAGTGCTTCAAGTCCTCTTCACTTTCAGCAAGAAAGGTTGTGCCATCTACATATTGCAGGTTGTTAATGAGCCTTCCTCCAATCCTGATGCCGTGTTCTTCATATAGTCCAGCTTCTCAGATTATTTGCTCAGCATACAGATCGAGTAAGTATGGTGAAAGGACACAACCCTGATGCACACCTTTCTTGACTTTAAATCATGCCATATCCCCTTGTTCTTTTCAAATGCCTGAAGTCGTACAGGTTCCTCATGAGCACAGTCAAGTGTTCTGGAATTCCCATTCTTCACAATGTTATCCATAATTTGTTATGATCCACGCAGTTGAATGCCTTTGCATAGTCCAATAAAACACAGGTAAACATCTTTCTGGTATTCTCTGCTTTCAGCCATAATCCATCTGACATCAGCAATGATATCCCTGGTTCCACATCCTTTTCTGAATCCAGCTTAAATTTCTGGAAGTTCCCTGTCCATTTACTGCCGCAACCGCTTTTGAATGATCTTCAGCAAAATTTTACTTGTGTGTGATATTAATGATATTGTTCGATAATTTCCGCATTCTGTTGGATCACCTTTCTTTGGAATGGGTACAAATACGGATCTCTTCCAGTCAGTTGTCCAGGTAGCTGTCTTCCAAATTTCTTGGCATAGACAAGTGAGCACTTCCAGCGCTGCATCCCTTTGTTGAAACATCTCAATTGGTATTCCATCAATTCCTGAAGCCTTGTGTTTTGCCAATGCCTTCAGTGCAGCTTGGACCTCTTCCTTCAGTACCATTGGTTCCTGATCCTATGCTACCTCCTGAAATGGTTTAACACTGAACAATTCTTTTTGGTATAGTGAGTCTGTATTCCTTCTGTCTTATTTTGATGCTTCCTGCATCGTTTAGTATTTTCCCCGTAGAATCTTTCAATATTGCATCTTGAGGCTTGAATTTTTTCTTCAAGTCTTTCAGCTTGAAAATTGCCAAGCATGTTCTTCTCTTTTGGTTTTCTATCTCCAGGTCTTTTCACATGTCATTATAATACTTTACTTTGTCTTCTTGAGCCACCCTTTGAAATCTTCTGTTCTTTTACTTCATCATTTCTTCCATTCACTTTAGCTACTCACATTCAAGAGCAAGTTTCAGAGTTTCTTCTGACATCCATTTTGGTCTTTTCTTTCCTGTCTTTTTACAGATTGTTTGCTTTTTCATGCATGACGTCCTCGATGTTATTTCACAAGTCATCTGGTCTTCGGTCATTAGCGTTCAATGCGTCAGCTGTATTTTTGAGATGGTCTCTAAATTCAGGTGGGATATACTCAAGGCCTTATAGTATAAAGAAAATGGGAAACAAAAGAGGTAGAGGGACATACTGAAGGCTAGGGAAGTGTTAGAACGTGACTTTGTTAGAACAAGGGGGCCTTAGCTCTTAGGGCTGAGAGCTACCACTTTAGAGAGCAATTACTCCCAGGTGTGCCTGGCTGGAAATGGTGATGCCTATGAGCCATGCCTTATGAATTAATTAAACACTCCTGAATTATGCAGGTATATGGATCCATCCCTTGACTCCATGCTGATGGACTGCAGAACGGCTGTAGATTTGATCTATTTGCAGGTAAGGACAATCAAGAACTGTCAGAATGCCATATATTATAGGTCATTATGGTTTGCAATCATTAAAAAAAATTTTTTTTTTTAGTAGTTAAGAATTCTACGTTCATTTTAACAATCTCTGACTTTGCAGCTAGCACTTGATCATTTAGGCCTACAAAGGATATCTTGATAATCTAAAGTCACACCCAAGAAAAACCCATTGCCCATGAGTTGATTCAACTCATAGTGACCCTATAAGACAGAGTAAAACTGCCCCAGAGGGTTTCCAGGGCTGTAATCTTTACAGAAGCAGGATGCCACATCTTTCTCCCATGGAGTGGCTGGTGCGTTTGAACTGCTGACCTTTTGGTTAGCAGCCAAGCACTTAACCACTGCACCACCAGGGCTCCTTTAAAATCACACATGGTCCCTAAATCTCGTTTTAGCATAGCCTTCTTTTTCTCTGAGCCAACAAGTAGCATACCTGCCCTTGAGCTGGCCTCACAGCTGCACAGCTATGCAGTCACACAGGGCCCCTGGTTAGGAAGGACCCTGCACTTGGTTTCATGCACTACTGCCCCCTTCTTGAAATTCTTAATGATTTTTGAACAAGGAGCTCCACATTTTCATTTTGTATTGGACCCTACAAATTAAGTAGTTGGTCCTGCCTTCTGCCCTCCCTCCCCACCACCACAAAAAATAAATTTTCCTTTTCCTGGCTAGGGTGGTGAAGGTCCTGCTAAGCAGTGAAATGGTGCAGATGCTGCCTTTATATTTGCCACCAGGTCATCACCACCCCAGTTCTCCCACCCTCTTTGCAGCTCCCCACCAGTGTCCTCTCTTACCAAGATAACTAAAGATTCTTTAGAGACCTGATCCTCCCCAAGACCTGTCTTGGCAATTATGGGAGGGAGGTTTGGAAATTTTTTTTAAGGAGTTCCATGATAACATCCCACAGTCTCTTCTGGAGGAGGAAGGGGCAGATTGTATCCTTCCTCCATTTATACCTTCCCAGGGCTGCTTTCCATCTCACTCAAACTAAACACAAATCCTGACATGCCTGCTTTATCTTCTCCTTAGCAATTCCATTCCATAAAGGTTAACCCTGGGGTAGTTCTACTGTGTTACATGGGGTTGCTATAAGTCGAAATCCATTGGATGGCACCCAACAACAAGAACATATAAACAACAACGATAATAAACAAGGAAGAATGTATGTGTATATATATACGTGTATGTATTTACATTCTTATTTATTTGTTTATTGTGTCTCTCTCTCCTAGTTTGATTTATCCACTGCTGTATGCCCAGAAACTAGAACTGTTCCTGGCACAGCATTGGCATTAAGCCCCTGCAGAGGGTCAGCATTGTCCTAATTGTACCGTCAAGTCAATTCGGACTCAAACAGCGACCCTATAAGACAGAGTAAAACTGCCCCATAGGGTTTCCAAGGCTGTAATCTTTACAAGAGTAGATTGCCAGGTCTTTTCTTTCAAGGATCTGCTATTGGGTTCAAACCACCGACCTTTGGGTTGGCAGCCGAGCTCTTAAACATTGTGCTACCAGGGCTCTTCTTGTGTTACTAGAGGATGTCAAAGAGGGATTTAATACTTATTTGTCATTGTAGTCGTTGTTAGCTGCTGTGGAGTCAACCCCCAACTCATGGCGACTCCATGGTCAACCAAACAAAATACTGCCCAGTCCTGTGCCATCCCCATGATTGGTTGTAGATCACCAGGTGTTTCTTCCTAGTCCATCTTAGTCTGGAAGCTCCACTGAAACCTATTCAGCATCATTGCAACATACAAGCCTCCACTGACAGATGGGTGGTGGCTGCACATGAAGTACATTGGCTGGGAATCGAACTAGGGTCTCCTGCATGGAAGGTAAGGACTCTACCACTGAACCACCACTTCCCCCATAATACTTATTTACAGGTGGCTTTTATTTAGTGTGATTCTCAGTGGCAACACTCCATAGCTTTTCATACACTGAAGAGGTAGAGCTGAAGACAGGAGGAGAAATGTTGGGTCAGTCATTACTTACTTTTAATGTGCTTTTCAAGGGGACAAGAAAACATTAAAAAAACCTACTGTAAGACTTTGAGTATAGCAAAAAATGTCAATGGAACAATTTTGAATGCGTCAGCTTGCTAGAGGGCATAGAAGAAGAAGAAATGTCTCAGCACATACTTCCTTAGGTGTCTAGACCAAGACCATCCACTAAATCATCTCCACAAGCTCTTCCAAATTCTAAGAAGGCAAATCAAAATATCACTTATGAAACGTTTAATGTTCACTATGATATTTTTATGACTGGTATATAGTATATTGTATACTAATATAGTATATTGTAAGTCTTTTGAGTTCATTTCATGTTATACTTTGATCTATGTATTAGTCCTGTTTAGCGTACTTATGCTCGTGTTCTATGAGTTGGAGCATAATTTACCATTTTAAATGTTTACGGAGGCTCAGCATCATTGTCTCCTTGCTGTTACGATACATTATTGGTTGTGTCTGCTTTATTTGATGTCGCATCCTTCGTTGAGAATGCACTACCTAATTACAATATAGTTCCTGTGGGAAATACAGTCTTCTTTACGGCATAGTTTCTAGGAACACACTGTGTTGAAAGGTCAGAACTGGCAGCATCATAATATGAGTTTATCTGTCTTCATTAAGGAGTTGTAAACCAGAGAGAAATGGAAGGTATTTTCTTTGCTCACAGCTGGGGGAAAAAAAGTAGCTTTGTGGAAAGTACACTGAACTGCAGTTTCAAAAACGAATCCTGTCCTTGCTTTGCTATTGGCACTGTCTCCATGTGCTCTTGGACCAGCCACTTCATCCTTCTGAACTACAGCACCTCCCTATTAAACCAAGAGGTTGAACTAATAGTGTCCAAGTTTTCTTGCTGCTTTTAACACCAGAAACAAACAAACAAAAAACCAGTTGCCATTGAGTCAATCTGGACTCATGGCTGCCCCATGTGTTTCAGAGTAGAACCATGCTCCATAGGGTTTTCAATGGCTGATTTTTCAGAAGTAGATTGCCAGGCCTTTCTTCTGAGGCACCCCTGGGTGAACTTGAACCTCCAACCTTTTGGTTAGCAGCTGAGTGTGTTTCTGTTTATACTACCCAGGGACTCCCTCTGCTCTAATAGACTGTTATTAACCCCTAGTTCTTTGCCTGGCTTATAGTAAGCCTTCAAAAAATTGTAGTTAATGTCATAATTATCATTATCATCATCATCATTATAATTTCTTGAATCTGAGTGAAGTCTGAGAAGTTGAAAGCCATGCTCAAGTTCAGCAGGAGAGTCAGGACCATATGCATACCAAAAGCCCTGAGGATGGCAGAGTGCTGCCTCCTCTGTGAAGCCTTCCTAAGCTAACCCCAGCAAAGAAAGTTCTGCCCTCCCTCTCTGCTCCCGTGATATTTTGCTCACATCCTCTATATAGCACTTCTCACTCAGCATTGTAAATACTGTTTACATATGTGTCTCCCTGACCAGACTCTGAATGGCCAAGGACAGAGACTGTGTCTCATTCCTCTTTTGTGTCAGGAGTGCCTAGGATATGTGCATGAATGAGAAGCAATCATCCTTCTTGAGAATTAATGCAAAAAGCTTTTATGAGTCCTTCTGATGAATAATGGTGCCACCTTAGTTAACTATTAAAGGATACCCTTTTGCTTTTTTTTAAAGCAGAAGTGCCCACTGAGGCCCAAGTTGCCATTTGGACCAGCAGACCTGCTTTGTTTATTCCCACATCATGTCTCCTTTCTATCTTAGTCTGGGTTCTCTAGAGGAGCAAAACCAGTGAGACCGGTATATAAATATATAGAGATTTACTTCAAGGAAATGACTCACTCAATTGTGGGGGCTGGCAAGTCCCAAATCCGTGGGTCAGGAGGCAGGCCAGAAACTTCTGCAGGCCTGCATCCCAAGAACTAGATGTCAGGCAATGAGAAGTGTGCAGGATCGAGAGAGAGCAAGCTTTGCCAGAACATCCGTTTATTCCTGGAGGCAGTCCACACCCCTAAGGAAAGTCTCCTCTCAACTGATTGTCTGATCACGTCAGATCACATCTTGGAAGGTGATTATTACATGTCTGCCAAATCACTGAGAATCATAGCTTAGCCACGTTGACACACAATATCAACCATCGAAGTTTCCTTTAAAAACAAAACAAAACAAATTTGAGTGACATTAATAGGAGATTGTATGTACAAGTTTAAATTTCTGGATTTTCTCAAAAATATTAAAAGCTCAGTCACTTCTGGGCCTGCATTTCAGGAGGGCCACCACTGGCATATACAGTAACTTTATGCATATTAGAAAAAGGTGCCCCATCCTCCAGGCAGGCCTAGCCCCATGTCAGGGCTCCTGGTTGGGTGAGGGGAGCATGGGCTAGCCTTTAGCCTCCTAACACCTCCATGGCCCAGACCCTTGTGCAGGGCACAACCTGCACATCCGTCCCCTATGGTCTTGTCTGTCGTGCCTCAATCAGCTGGAGCTGAGGGGTCGATGTCTTACTTAGAGAAGTATGTGCTCTCCATTTCTTGTGACTGTGCTGTCAGTGGAAGGCACTATAGTGTGTGATTGAAACGCATGAAAACCATGGCTTATGTGGTTCCACTTGATTTTTAAAATTAGACTCTGCATAAGTGCTCATCAGCCAGTCTTCAGGGAACCATATAACTGAGTAGCGACGTTCGTTTAAACTTAATTCTCTTATTTTATGGGCCAGCTCTGAGGGAGGTACGGTAGATAAAGTATTTGAGTGATGAATTGTGAGCCTATAATCAGGGTCAAATCTCTTCAAAGATAGTGAAACCTGAACAGTTGTGTTAACTCTTCTTCAGGACATTTCAATCTCTGGGTTTGAGAGCCCTGGGCCCTCTAATGATGAGTAATGTGTCTTGGGTTAGTACCTACTGCCCTCATTCCTGTTTACATTCTTTATTTAGCCATGCTTTCTCTTTGACATGGTTGACCTGTGTCAACAGTCCTTACAGGACTCTAACATCAGGTAAATTCAGGAAAGAAGAAGGCATTTAGTTTTTCATGCCCAAGCTGATTCCATTCTGGTATGGTGTCTAGGTTCAGTTTTGAGAACCATTAAAAACAAGCAGAAAGATTTGGGGGTGGGTAGCTGCCCTGGTGGTGCAGGGGTTAAGCGCTCAGCTGCTAACCGAAAGGTCAGCAATTCAAACCCACTAGTGGCTCCACGGAAGAAAGATGTGGCAGTGTGCTTCGCTAAAGATTTACAGCCTTGGAAAACCCTATGGGGCAGTTCTACTCTGGCCTACAGGGTCGCCATGAATTGGAATCAACTTGATAGCAGTGGGTTTGGTTTTCTTTGGTTTTAGCTGCCTATACAAGATCCCTGGTGGTACACCGGTTAAGCGCTTGACTACTAGCCAAAAGTTTGGCTGTCTGAACCCACCCAAAGGCGCCTCACAAGACAGGCCTGGAGATCTGCTTCTGAAAGGTCACAGCCTTCAAAACCCTATGGAGCAGTTCTACTCTGCACACAGGGGGTCACCATGAGTCAGACTCTACTCCACAGCAACTAAACAACAACAGCTGATTATACAGTAACAATTTAGAGGCTTGGGCAAGGGCAGGAGGACATGGTGTAGCGGTCACACCTGGGTGTTAATCCAATTCTGCCACTTACTGGGTGACCTTGAAAGTCATAACCTCTCTGAATCTCAGTTTACCCAGCTATAAAATGGAGATAATTATTCCTACCCTATAGGATAGTTGGAAAAAAGTCAACGAGAAACCCCATCTAAAAAGGTCTTCAACAAATACTAGTTATTTTTCTTCTCCCCTCTAACCTCCCTGCCTCTTTCCCTCCAACCTAAACAGCAATGTCAAAAATTTATTCAGCTTTTCATTCGCCTCTTGGAGATAAGGCATAACCTGCCCATATCATTGAGGGAGGTAACACATAGACTTACATTCAGACTAAGGTATAAATAAGTGCCTGATAACTGGCAAAGATTTATTGAGTGTTTAAGGTTTAAGGCACTGGCAAGATACACTGAAGTGAGGAACACAGGGTCTTCCCTCGAGGGGCTGACAACCTAAGTGAGGAACAATGGAAAATTCCTTTCAAGCATGATAAATCAATGTAGCACAGGCTAAGCGTATAGCTAATGAGATGTACAACTAATACCAGAACCTCCCCTGGGGTCAAGCTGGATAGAGGGGAGGGGAAGAATGTGTGGGGTCCCAGGAGGGGAGGGAAAGAGCACAGAAAAAGGAGACTGGAGCAGGGAGGCAGGCTGCAGACAACAGGCTTTATTACTTCCATTTTTCATTTCAATCCCGAAGAGCTTCCACTGGGAGCAGTTAGCTGTCTTCCAGGAGATTCCTGCTGTGGTGCGCAGTGGTTGTTCGCTTAAACCTGCAGTGGATTAGGAAACAGGACTGAGAAACCCATCAGGGACCTGGAGTCTGGGGACTCTACTGATGAGCAGGCAGGGCCCAATAATAGTTTTTTTTTTAATCGTAAAATTTCTTTTCATTTTATAAAAGATCTGCAAATATGGAAGAGTTCAAAAAAGAAAGTAAATGTCACCCAAAATTGTAACTCACTGTCTTAGTCATCTAGTGCTATTCTAACAGAAATACCACAAGTGGATGGCTTTAACAAAGAGAAATTTATTCTCTCATAGTCTATTAGGCTACAAGTCCAAATTCAGGGCATCAGCTCCAGGGGAAGGCTTTCTCTGTCAGCTGTGGAGAAAGGTCCTTGTCATCAGTCTTCCCTTGGTCTGGGAGCTTCTCAGGCGCAGGGACCCCAGGTCCAAAGGATGCGCTCTGCTCCCGGCGCTGCTTTCTTGGTGGTATGAGGTCCCCACTCCCTGCTTGTTTCCCTTTCCTATTATCTCTTGTAAGATAAAAGGTGGTGCAGCCCACACCTCAGGGAAACTCCCTTTACATTGGATCAGGGATGTGACTTTAGTAAGAGTGTTACAATCCCACCCTAATCCTCTTTAACATAAAATTACAATCACAAAATGGAGGACAACCACACAATACTGGGAATCACCGTCCAGCCAAACTGATACACACATTCTGAGGGCGGGGCGGGGGGAGGACATAATTCAGTCCATGACACTCACCTATCATTATAATCTATTAACTTTTTTGGTGTGTTTATTTTGTAATATGTATTTCCCTGATACATAGGTATGCCTACAAAGCTTTCATTATTTTTGTTTGTTTGTTTTATACATAGTTATTTTGTTTTATAAAAATTGGAGGCTACCATTAGACTCTTATTTTGTAACTTGAAAAATTTTTTCATTTATCAATACATAACAGACTTTTCCCATGTTGTTAAATAGTCTATATAATTTTTAATGATATCGTAATCTATTATTTGATTGCTTTTATTGTTGTTAGTTGCCATCAAGTTGATTCCGACTCATGACAACCCCATGTGTGCAGAGTAGAACTGCTCCAAAGGGTTTTCAAGGCTATGACCTTTCAGCAGCAGATTGTCAGGCTTGTCTTCCAAGGTGCCTCTGGATGGGTTTGAACCACCAGTCTTTCAGCTAATAGTCGAGTGCTTAACTGTCTGTGCCACCCAGGGACTTCTTTATTTTGTTGTACCCAAACTTAAACAATTACCTGTTGTTGGGCATTTCATAATAGCACCTACCTCATAGGTGGCTGTTGAGGACTGATTTTTGTTTTATAGCAGTTAGAGCACTGTCTGTCCCACAGTAAGCACTCTACATGTTTGCCACTATTACTAAGCGGCAATATTTTCGATGTTATAAACAAGAGTAGTAATAGCCCTATCAACACATCTTCCCCACATCTATGTTTATCATTCCTGTAGGTGGCTTTAGATTCACCAAATTACTTCAGAAAGTTGTACGAATTAAATCTTATCAGTCCTACATGGAACTTCCTGTTTCCCCAAACCCTTGCCAAGTCTGAATATTATATATTTTTTAATCTTTACCAAGTTTAAAGGTAAAAAAATTCTTTGGTTACTAGTGAGGTTGAATATATATTTACCACTTGGAATTCCTTTTTGTGAATTGCCTATACATATCCTTTGTCCATTTTTCTATGGGCATGTTTATATTTTTCCTATTGCTTTGTATAAATATTACTAATTCTTTGACACATATGATACAATCATTTCCCTGGTTTACTATTTGCCTCTTAATTTTGTTCTTGGTAGTTTTTATGAACCAAAGTATTATATTTTTATGCAATTATATAGGGCTATTCCTTTTATGACATTTTGTCTTTGTTTCTTAAAAAGTCCTTGGGTGGTGGCACAAACGGTTAAGTGCTCTGCTAGTAACTAAAAGGTTGTCAGTTAGAACCCACACAGAAGCACCTCAGAAGACAAGCCTGGTGATCTGTTTTCAATGGTCACAGCCTTGAAAACCCTGTGGAGTAGTTCTACTCTGACACATGGGGTAGCCATGAATTGGAATTGACTCAATGGCAACTAACAGCAATGGTAACAATCTTAAAAAGACATTCCCTACCTCAAGATAGGGATAGTCACCTTTATTTTCTTCTGGTTCTTTTATGGATTTTACATTTGAATCTTTAATCTGTCTGGAATTTATTTGGTTGAGTGGCGTGAGGAAGGAGTTAACAATAACTTTATTTTCTTTACCAAGTATTGCCAGGTATCCCAAAACTGTTGAAAATCTCTTCCCACCCCCATTAATTTAAAAAGTAACTTTTATAACATGCTAAGTCTTTATATATATCATCTTGAATCTGTTCTTTTAGCCCTTCATACACAAGAATGTTTTTGTCAGGTTAATTCATTTCTGCTAAGATTGCTAATTTTACACTTATGTTGTTTTAAGGCAATACAGGACATTGAAAAGGAATGGGCCAAACCCACACAGGCGCAGAGGGAGAAATTAACAGCTCTTCAGAAGGAAGACAATCAGACAAAGGTGAATCAAATATTGTACCAAGAGAAATCCCTTGGAAGGGAGTTAAAGAAATATGCTGGAATTGAGATGTTTCTGTATTTTAATTTATAAACCCATCAAGCACTAAAAGTGGGGCTCCTTTAAAAAGGAGAATACCTCCATTGATTTTTCTGATTATAAAATTAATAAAGGCTCATTGCTTAAAGATTTTAAAAATACAGACAGTATATTATGTCTTTTGTCAAGCTAATTAATATAGATCCTCAACATTATTTTTAACAACTACTGAGTATTTCATTTTACGACTGTGTTATCGTTTAGCTAACAAATTTCCTATTATTGGACTTTCAGAGTGTTGCCATCTTTTTGCTGCTATAAATCACTTAGGTAGTGAGTCCAGGACTGTGTCTAATCTATACATGCTCTGGGTATTCCCAACACCTGGTACAGATTCTGGCTGAATGTTCCTGAATACTGCAGGCAATATCCTCTGTCTTTGAGTACATGTTCTATTATTCCTTAGAATACATTTCTAAATGTCCATTGTGAAAACTTCCATTAAGATTGCACCAACTCACACACCTCCTGCACCCTTCCCACCTGCGGTGTATATGAGTACCTTGCAAACAAGACACATTTTAACAGAAGAAATGACCTCTGCCTCGTTGTGTTGTTTTTTTCTATTCTTTAGACTTTGCAGTGTTCACAACCAAAGCACTGATTTTGAATAAAATGTATTCAGAACTTATACTTAGGTGCAGGGGCAGATTATCCAATAGGCAAGGTAAGCACAGTGCTTACTTGTTTACCAGATCATCTGTAATAAACAGTTTCACTTTTTTTTTTTACCACATCAAAGATTCTGCTTCTAGGTATGGCTGACATCTGTCTCTCTCCCAACCCCACAGCGTCTTCCGACAGAATCAAAGCCTCCTTTCAAATTTACAATCCTTAACAGGGGTGGATGACCCTGTAAGCAAGGTAAGCCTGGGCTTACTTGTGCTTATTTTCTAATCTGTAGTGAAAGTGTTCGCTATAGATGATCTGGTAAGCAAGGTAAACACCATGCTTAGTTTGCTTACTGGCTATTCCACCCCTGCTGAGGTGAATATACAAAGTAATTCTTCTAAGGTTCAGACATTTTGAAAATTTGGTTTATGGGTTGCAAAAAATAAATAAAAAGAAAGAATAAGCGCCTACTGCTACATTGTAGAATTTTTTTCTTTTTGTATTCCACCTTAACTTTGTCCCCAAAATATACACACCTACTTTGTGTATATATAAAAATTGTTGTAAATTTTGACAATTACAGATTCTATTTTGATGGGTAGAATATTGTTGCTACTTTGGACACAATTATAAATTGTATCCAGCAACCAATTCTAGGTACATTTCTGTCCTATAAACTTCTTATTTTAATAAGAATGTTGTTTTTACCATGTCACTGTACCTTACCAAAATTTATATAATTGCCATAAAAATAAATTTTATTTTCTATGATGAATTTTTTACCTGAATTTCCCATGGTATTCATAACAATTGTCTTTTAAAAACTTTTACTTTGAGTACATGAATTGGATGAAAAAATTGAACCACTATTGAAGTTAATTTGACTGATTTTCTCTTGAAACATCCAATTGTACTGCTATAAAACCAACAGTATTTGTTTGTGAAGTTCTTCTCCTGCTAATGGAGATAACACATTAACATTAACAACTATGGCTTTACTTTTTGTACGTGCACAAAAAAACTTGGAATTGAAAATGAGTGAAATTAATTTAAAGAAACAGTCATTTGATCTAAATCAGAGATCAGCTATCTATGGCTCACAGGCCAAGTCTACCCTGCTGCCTGTTTTTGTAAATAAAGTTTTATTGACATACAGCCACATTTGTTTGCTAGTGTATTCTCTAAAGCTGCTTTTGTGGCATAGTGGCAAAGTTGAGCCACTGCAATAGAGACCATATGGCCTGCAAAGCCAGAAATATTTACTATCTGACTTTTAACAGACAAGTTTGCCAATCCCTGATCTAAATGCAAACATATAAACATACCTTCAGCAGCTATCCATATTAAATTGTCTTTTTCAGAGACAGTCTTCTTAAAAGAAATAAGTTTTCCAACATAAGATTCTTCCATATTTTTGTCTTCTGGTGTTCATATACTCCCACCCCTCACATATCAGCATGGTTAGGTCCCAAACACCAGGTCATTATATGAAAATTGGCATTATGCAAAAATGGAAGATGACCACATCAGATCACAAAATGGAGGATGACTACTTCATTACATAACTTCCAAATTACATCATTACATAAGTGCCATACCACTGAGAATCATGGCCCAGCCAAGTTGACACATAACCTTAACCATCACAGCCAGCGTTACTCTTGCCTACCAGACGTACATCGTTAATGTGCACAATAGTCCGATACCAGATTTTATTACTATTGTCAAAAATGCAAAATATTGAATAACGAGATAGTCGGTAAGTGTAAAGTAGGTCTAGTCAGTAATATCACAACACTCCCCTTGTTGAATAGCAAATGCCAACAAGCATTTTGAGCAAGTTCATTGCCAATTTTCTTTTTTTTGTTTATTGTTGTAGTTTAAATGAAGTTGACATTTCAAGTTAGTCTCCCATACAAAAATTTATACATACATTGTTATGGGAGCCTAATTGCTCTCCCCATACTGTGACAGCACACTCCTCCTTCCCACCCCTGATTCCCATTCAACCACCTCCTAGCCCTCTCTGCCTTCCCGTGTCACCTCTGGACAGAAGCTGCCCATTTAGTCTTGTATCTACTTGAGCTAAGAGACACACTCCTCACGAGTATCACTTTATGTCCCACAGTCCAGTCCAATCCCTGTCTGAAGAGTTGGCCTCGGAAATTGTT